TTCCCCCCCCCCAAATTTTAATGTATCTTTATTTATGGGGGTGATTAGGTTTGTTTATTTATTTTAATTGGGTTTATTCATTTATTTTAATGGCAGGGATTGAACAGGACCTTGTGCTTGCTAAATGCCCACTCTAAATGCCCACTCTACCACTGAGCTATACCCTTCCCCTAAGGCTTTTTTTTAAATTAATTTTTAATTTATTATTTTTCATCTCTTTTTGTGGGGAGGTAATTAGGTTATTCATTTTGGGGAGCAGGTAATTAGGTTTACTAATTTATTTCTATAGGAGGCACTGGGGATTGAACCCAGGACCTTGTGCATGCTAAGCACGCACTCTACCACTTGAGCTGTACCCTCCCCCTCAAGACAGAGCTTTTGAAGCCACTTTCAAAGACACTAGAAAATCTCTTAAGATGTAGATGCTGGGCATTTCCCACCTGAACAGGACTCTGCTGCTACGCTTGGATCAGTGGGTGCAAATTTAGTTTTAAATGTGACGTGTTGGGTCTGAGCTGCATAGGGTTGACCTTGATTGTGTTAAAAAAATCAAACATTTAAATATTCAAAATGTTTTAAAATAAGGAGATTTTGTTTTTTAAAAAAATCAAGATTTCTGGCTTCTCTCAAAAGATCAGAGTTCTCTCAATCCCACATGGTGACAAACTGCTGAACATGGTGATGCCCGACCCTCTGGAGAAACGGTGCGCTCCACTCCCCCTGGTTTTTGTGGTTTTTGTTTTTGCTTTTGTTTTTTTGAGCAGAGAATGGTTTATTGCAGGGGGAAACGGGCGGCTCGTGCTCAAAAAAACCCCAAACTCCTCCCCCTGGTTTTTATCAAGCCTGTTTTACTGTGGCACAGATATGCTGAGAGCCTCTCTGAGACTCAAAAGCCAGCTCTGCCATCTACCAGCTATGTGATGTGGGCAAGGTGCTAAAACCTTCTGTGCCTCCGTTCCATTCCAATAGGATGGAAATAATAGCAGCTTCCAAGTCAAGTCACTGTTAGGAGGATTACATGGATTGATATGTGTAAAACAGTCAGAAGAGTGCCTGGCCTTTGCCACATGCTACATGGGGTTCAGTTATTATCTTGTACCTGCTTGGCCACTAGACGCATCAGAGTCTGTGTTCTCTGGTTTGGATTCTTTCTCCTTCACTCCCTGTTCACATTTCACTTGCAGAAACCTGCAGTGTCTCCTTAAAGATTTTTTTAAATTAAATTAAATTAATTTTTTTTGACAGTGGAGGTAATTAGGTTTATTCATTTATTTATTTTTAGCGGAGGTACTGGAGATTGAACCTAGAACCTCATGCATGCTAAGCATGTGCTCTACCACTTGACCTATGCCCTTCCCACCTCTCCTTAGAGATGTAAACAATTTGCTCTATCAGGCGAGTGGTATGGAAGCTCTGTGTGAGGCTCTGTGTGACAGTGATGCTCTGAACATCACCGCGGATTGTCTGAAAACCCAGTATCTTCAAATAACAATTGTTTACTCTAAGAGGTCTGCAAGTTGGCTGGAGTGATTCATCTCATACTCTGGTGGCTCCGATGGTGGGGGAAGGGTCTGGGTCTACTGCCTGCATGTCTGGCTTCTTCCTTGGACCAGTAGACCAGTCAGAATGTGTTCTCGTGCTGGTGGTGACAGAAGCCTGAGAAGGCAAGCCCACTTTATTTTCTTAATTTTTTAAAATTGAAGTGTAGTTGATTTACAATGTTGTGTTAGTTTCTGGTGTACAGCAAAGTGATACATACATACGAATATATATATATGTGTGTGTGTGTGTGTGTGTGAACATATATATATATATAACTATATATGTTCTTTTTCATAAGAGATTATTACAAGCTATTGAATACAGTTCCCAGTGCTATACAGGAGGACTATTTTGTTTATCTGTTTTATATATAGTAGTCTGTATCTGTTAATCCCAAACTAATTTGTCCCTCCTCTACCCCTTTTCCTTTTTCATAACCATAAGTTTCTTTTCTATGTCTATGAGTCTGATTCTGTTTTGTAAATAAGTTCATTTATATCATTGTTTTAGATTCCACATATAAGTGATATCACATATTTGTCTTTATTTCTCTGATTTCACTTAACGTGATAATCTCTAGGTCCATCTATGTTGCTGCAACTGGCATTATTTCATTCTTTTTTATGGCTGAGTAGTATTTCATTATATATATATGTACAATATATGTATACACACGCATGGACACACACACACACATATATATACATATACATATATATACATATGTGTATACACACACACACACACACACACACACACACACACTACATTTTCTTTATCCAGTCATCTGTCCATGGAAATTGTGGTTACTTCCGTGTCTTGACTATTGTAAATAGTGCTGCTATGAATATTGGGGTGCATGTATCTTTTCAAATTGGAATTTTATCCATCTATATGCCCAGGAGTAGGATTGCTGGATAATAGGATAACTTTATTTTTAGTTTTTTAAGGTACCTCCATACTGTCCTTCATAGTGGCTGCACCAATTTACATTCCCACCAGTAGTGTGGGAGGGTCCCCTTTTCTTCACACCCTCTCCAGCATTTATTGTTTGTAGACTTTTTGATGATGGCCATTCTGACTGGTGTGGGGTGACACCTCATTGTAGTTTTGATTTGCATTCCTCTAACAGTCAGTGACATTGAGCATCTTTTCGTGTGCCTCTTGGCCATTTGTGTATCTTCACTGGAGAAACATCGGTTGAGGTCTTCCCAAGCCTACTCCAGGCTCCTCGTTGCATCGTATCTGTTAGCATTCCAATGGCTGAAGCAGATCAGATGGCCAAACTCAAGGTCAAGGGGCAGAAAGAACTGCAAGGTTACGTGGCAAAGGGCTTGGATATAAGGACAGGAAAACAGTTGGCTTTGCCACTTTCAGAAGACTGTTAGAAGTCAGCAGTTCTGGTTGTTTTGGTTTAAAAGGTGCTTTTTAAGAAAAATTTGTAAATACTCTGTCAGTTAGGATGCTTTTGGTGTTACACAACAGAAGTCTTCACTAAAAGTGTTACAAACAAAGAAAGGTAATTTACTTGCTCATGTCACTTATAAGCCAGTGTAGTAATGACTTGGAATGGCTTGTTCTAGGGGCTTGAACAAGATCACCAGTCCTTTATCCCTCTACACCCATCAGGTCTGCTCTTCTTCATGTTGGGTTTATTTGTCCTTAAGAAGGTAGCTGCTAGGAGGATCAGATCTATATCCTCCCAGGCTCACGTCAGGGTCAACAGGAGAGAGTGCCCCTTTCTCAACAGTCCCAGGGAAAGCTTTAATTCTTTCTGAATGAGGCAAGTGTCCATCTCTGACTCCATCACTGTTGCCAGGGAAATGTAAAACTCCAGTTCTCATGCCCTCCCTTGGCCTGGGGGACACTGTTGACTCCTCCTATGTGTATAGAATATATACCGACACCGGGTGAGGAGTGTGCCTCTGTTAGAAGTAGGGATGAACAGCCTTCATTAGTAGTGGGGAGGTAGGGGGAGGCTTAGTGGTAGAGCACATGCTTAGCATGCACTGGGTCCTGGGTTCAATCCCCAGTACCTCCTCTAAAAAAAGAAAGAAAGAAACCTAATTACCTGCCCTCCCTTCCCCACCAAAAGAAGTAGAGAGAGAACTACCCTGTGTTGAAAGCATGAAACTGTCTACCATAAATATTCATAGTTTCCCACTAAACTAAAGTAAAAGTTCGGAGAGCTCTGTTCCCTTGTTTATATTTTTGCCATACTATTTAAGTATGGTAGAATCTTTGCACTATTTTATCTAAGCTGCTAAGCAATTCAATGACAGGTGTCCTGAAACAAGGCTAGATATAAATATTTGATTATTGTATTTATTATAAAGTTAACATTCATCTCAGGATGGAATTTAATTTGTCTAAGGATACTTTCTAATTTTCGCAGAGAAATATCACAGGGGGATAAATGTTAACATTTCAATTCAGTTCAACAACACTTATTGTTGTAAATGTTTGTCAAGTTGAATTGAATTAAATGAACATTTCTGTGAGCATCACTGCAGACTCTGTGACCTGTATTTAAATATCTGATAAATAATCCCTCTTCTGTCCCGCTGTTGGTCATCATGGTTTTCTTGCCTAAACTTTCCACATCCTTGCTCTCCAACACTCCAGTTCTGTTCTCCCACCCCAAGGTCAAGTGCCAAGGCAGATTCCTTTTAGCCATGCCACTTGGGACAAATGTGAAATCATAAACTTGGAGAAAGTTTCTCTAGGATTAAGAATTCTCTAAGTGCTTAATTTTTCCTGATTTTATTTTCATATCAAATGATTTGCGATTCTGCTCTTTAGGAGAGACGAAACACGTTCCCAGTTCTGAGGTCTACTCTGTTTGCTGGAGACTACATGTAGTTGTGGGCTGGTAAACTGTCTGAGGAGGAGGGAGAAAAAAGCCCCAATTTGTAACATCTGCCAGTTTCCGTGGTGTAAATATTCCTGCCGTGGAAAATTGCAGGCCACCAGCAGTTGAAGTTTATAAATTCCTGAGCATTTAGCAGCTGGCTCTCACTAGCCAGTACAGACTAGCTCCAACCACCAGTGGTTATGTGAGCCTGCACAGTCGGTTCAGCCACTGGCGAGTGAGAGTTAAAATACCATTTCTTATCAAGTCGACTGACCTGCGGCCACTTGGTTTAGAGTTTACCCAACAAAACTGATTCTCATCTGTGGCCAGAAGACTCTAATTGGCCTAATTTCTAAGTCAGAACAACATCATTTTGTTTCCAAGAAGTATGGTTTCCTTCAGCGGACAACAGCTCTAGCAAAGTAAAGCTACACATGAGATGGTGTTGCTGTTTGAGGGGCATGTCTGTCAGCAGCCTGATGGAGATCGCATGTCCATTTCCCAGGCCCTACCCTAGGCTGGGTCTCCTAAACACGGGAAAGGCTGTGCAAGTCTTTCCTCCTGGCGTGTTACAGTAAAGATTGCACAATTCCATAGAAACAGTGTTCCACGTGCCTGAATCTGAGTGGAGCTTAGTTTTAAGTTTTGTATATTGACCTTGAGATTCAAGGACCAGATTTCGATGGACCAGTAGACAGTCATCACCCTGATCAGTTACCTTGCTCCCTCTTCCCTTGAAAAAGAAGCGCAGACCTTGTCAAGGGGACAGTGATTCCTATTTTATGAGTTGTCAGAAATCCAGCAAGAAGGAGCTAATTAGTTCCTAGAAGATCTCTGAGGCTTTTCCTAATTTCCATTTGACCCTTGTCTTTCCTGTTGATGAGAGAACATTTGTCTCAAGAAATATTCATGACTAAATGCTTTCTCCTTTGCTTGTTTGAAGACCAGTGACATTAGGAACCTAAAGCAATATGTGATTATTAAGCACGATTGATACCCAGAAGGCTGAGGTTTAAAAACCACCATTTCTGGCATGAGGCAGGTGGTTATGCATCTCGGATATCTGCTTAGGAAAGCTGAAAATGTGTTACGATACCCAGGGTTGCCGAGGGCACCTTGTACGCCTTTGTTACGACACTCAAGTCAAATGGATATTCACTAAGGGGTAATTTTTAAAGCAAGTCGAGAAGAGTCATGTGTGTAAGTCTTTTCAACAACAACAAGCAGCTCAGGAACTCCCATTCTGCTGCTCGGCTAGGTCTCCAGTGTATCATTTATCTATTCCCTTGACACACAGTCTCTGCAATCTTTCCAGTGGAATACATTTCACTGACTTGCATGAACACTGAGGGATTTATTGTTACCATTGCGGAAGAGGTGAGCAGTTACACAACGGCACTTTTGTGCTGATGTGTTTCTCTAGGTGACAAGAAGGAGGAGTCTAGAAGACGATGGAAGGGCCAGTGTTTTCATTTTTTTTCTTTATATTTGTAATGTTAAAGACATCACAATGCAGTAGAGTGTAATATGTAGGTGTCTGTGATGAATCACACCAGCCAGACAATATGTTCTTATATATGCAGAGCATACAGAAAGCAGATGGAAAAATAAAAATCTCAGGCGTTCTGGGAGACTCCGTTGCATCAGAAGAAATTTCAGCTGAGGAGATGAGACTGGGGGAGATGCTCGGTCCAAGGCACCCCTGGGAGACTCCAAGTGGCTGGTGAACTGAGGAAAGGATTGGAAGGGCTATTCCCAGAAAGGAGTGTGCGTCCTGCAAAGGGCAAATGGAATGCACAAATATGAAAGGGACTCACGTAGCTCAGCGGAGAATTGAAGATCTTGAATGTTGGAAGCACATTTGTAAGCAAAGGAGGGGGAAGCGTTTTTAGAGCAAGATTTCATTAATGTATGCTTTAAAACTAAGCTAGAATCTTACCATAATGAGTTTTCTACCCAATAGGATTGGTGGAAATGCTTACTAATGTGCACATTTCTTTTCTCTCATCTCTCTTTTTTTGCTAAGCTTAGTGGGAAGGACAGTGAATTTGATGAAACTGTTGTTGCTTTTTTAATCCACTTACCTGGATGCCTTTTGGTAGAAGTGGTTTATGGTTCCTGAATTTTATCCAAAAACTCAGTATACATCTTTTTTTTCCCCCTGACTTGCATCAGATAAGAATAGAGGGTTTTTTTTTTAATGTATTTTTATCTTTAGGCTGTTTCCATATATTGAAAAGTTGCAAGGAATAAATCATCTTATGAATGTAGGCGGGAGTGACTCAAATCCTATTTGGAGTCCCTCCCCAAACTCATTTCATTTAAAGATTTATTTAAGAAGAGGTTATGTTCCCTACAGAAGAGGCACTTCTAAGCTAGCTTTTCTGAACCTGTGCACTGTGGGGTAATAGACTTCCAGAAGATCTTAATAGATACTCTTCCAAAAAAAAGTTTCCACAGTCAAAAATGTTTGGGAAGTGCTGACTAATACATTAGTCCTCTCTTGAAGATCCTACACGTCCATTAGCATATTAAAGACTCTGAGGGGTTTCTCATACAGAAACATTTTAAACTTTAACCAGTATGCAGACATTGCTGACTGTTCATCCAAAAACCATTCTTCCTTCTTCCTTGCCAACAGAACCTTAAAGGTTTTATATAGCTAGCAATATTCCTGCTGGGAGCATTGGTCTAAGCGCATCCTCTTTGCCAGTCATTATTTTAGGGATGGGTATGTGACTCAAGTTCAGTTTATCTTTTTATATAGACAATAATTAAGCCCGGGGGCAGATTCCGTGTCAATTTACTCTAGATTCTCAGTGTGACTTCATATCTCACGTAGCGTCACACTTTGCTTGGGGCGTTTGAGATGACCTCATAGATATTCTGTCAGTGGCTACACCCCACTTACCTGTAGCGTGGTACCGATCACCAGTCTTCCTTCCCTCTGGCCTCGTCTTGGGGAAGATGATGCTGAGCTTCCTGGATCTTAAAAGAGCTGACAAGCAAGACTACACACCAGAAACCCTTTCCTCCAAGCCGGCCAGGTGGTTTAAGTACCTACACTAAATCCCCATCAAATATATGAATGTGAATCCCAGGTGGTCAGAGATCTATATCCAACCTGCTTTTTGTGACTTTCACACTTGGGTTAACGTCTGATGCTAACATGTAAGATAGACATCATCTCATCAAAAAGCTGTATCTTTTTACTCAGGCTCCCAGCCATTGCAGTAGGTTCAGGAGCGTCTTTCTAAATCCATACCTGTGCCTAGACCCGTGCTTATTTCTAAGCCTTGTCTCTGCATCAGAAATCACGGTTTCATTGAATGTCAGTCATGTTCATGGAATTTTCAGATTGCAGATTATAAATTTCATTGTGATTTTGTTTTTTAGGTACCTAGTAGAAGAAATCAAGAAAAGAGAAGGATTCAAGTTACTGATGGAGGTAAGTGATTACAGAACTGTGCTGTGATTTTGTCCGTCAGCAGTGATGCAGGTGGTTATTTTCTAATCTGTTATATTTCGTTGGTTTCTGTGTTGCAGACTTAGAAACAAGTCATTATCTTAATTCGTAGAGTCCATTACGTTAATTTGCTCTGTTAGTGAGTGTTTTTCCTTTGTTGGGTTCACAGAGAACACACTTGCCTTTAAGTATTGAAAATTAAAGTGTTCAATAATACTTACCAAGGATAATACTGAATAAATTATGACCTCTGTCTTGATATATAAATTGCACAATGATTGCACTGCAGATATTCAGCTGTGCTATAGTCGTGCCTGCATGTGGAAAATCAATTAAGTGAATGTGCAATAATGCATATAGTTTTGCCTTTTTATAAAATAATGAGAGCATATTAGCTTTGGAGCAATGGGAAAGTAAGTTATTTTGTTGTTGGATTGTTTGCTTTATAAGAAATAAGGTGGTTACAAAAATAGACAATATTGTTTTTTCCCCTAAAGTATATGGTTAGAAAACATGAAGAATAATATTTAATCCTGATTTTTAAGAAGTGTAAAGTGTGAGGTTCTCTCAGATCCTCTTATAGCATATACTTTATAGCAATTTTTTAAGTGATGTAAAAATCACCTAGAGACTGCAGCCTAGGGACCTATCCTGTGTATAAGCAGTCTGGGTATCCATTCATTCAGCAAGATTTATTGAGCAATTGTTACGTGGCAGGCACAGTTCTAGGCACTGGAGATACAAGACTGGGAAGTTTCCTGCTGTCAGGGTATTTACATTCAAAGGGAAAGTGACAGGCAATAAACAAGCAAATTCATACACAGGAAACGTCAGATTGGGGGAAGTCTTAAGAAAACAATAAAACAGATTCATGGGACATAATAAATAATTACAAGTAGCCTATTAGATGGTTCCAGATGTGGTAAGTACTATAATGAAAATAAATAGTGGGGAATGCTGAAATGGGGGTGTGGGTGTGGGTGGCCTGCTTGGTTTGGGTGGAGTGTGTAGAGCCTGGGGTGTCTCGGTGCTGAGACCTGCTGGTGATGTAAGCAGCGTGCCCTGCAGGTGCTCGAGGGAAAGGCACTCTAGGTAGAATCAGCAAACAACTGCCCAGTCTTAAAGCTGAACAGAGTTCTATGTGTTTGAGGAGCCAAAAGAAGGTGCATTAAGCATGGGAGTGGGGTGCACAGAGTGGGTGATGGTGTCGGAGAGGTCAGCAGAGACCAGAGCAGGTGGAGTCAGGGAGATCATGGAAAGACTCTGGCTTTTACCCCAAGTGTGGTCATTGGAGAAATTGTAAACAGAGGGTTGTCTGACTTCCATTTTTAAAGATTGCTCTGGATGTCCTGAGAAGAGTGGGAGTTGGGGGGGTGGTGGTGGTGAGGGGAGGACGAGATAAGAATAAGCCAGACAAACTAGGAGACTGTTGCAGTAACTCAGGGGAGATACGGAGACAGTCCTGATGTGGTCCTCCGACGACTCTGGGAAACTCTGCCCCGGAGAATCCTGACCATGGCTTCCACCACTGTCTGCAAAGGGGGCGTCAGATTAGAAGGTTCTAAGAATCCAAACTTCCTGAAAACTAGGGATATAGAGGAACTTACAAAGAGAGCGGAAGAATCCACATTTAAACGGCTTTCTGGTAACACAACAAGAAGCAAGAAGACAAATTTCAAATGTGGAAGATTCTACAGGACAGCTGACCTGGTTTCTTCAACAGGTCAGTGGCATGAAGGAAAAATGAAGGGGTGATGATGACCACTTCAGGGGTCAAAGAAGCTCAAGAGGCATAGCACCCAAAGGCAGCAGACAGACCTGCTGGAGTCCTGTTTCAAACGAGCTACTTATAAAAAGTGAATTCTGAACAGTTGGGGAATTTCTAATATGAACTGGTAGGAATAATCAGTAACTCCATTTGCATGATAATGTCATAACTGTAGAAAAACATGTCTGGATTTTCTAGAGATGCACGCTTAACATGTAAGGATGAAATAATGGCTTTGTGATTGGCTTGAGTCTGGGTTTGAATCACCTTTTTGCCTTTCTTGAGTTTGGAGTTGCCATCTTTGTTTTCTCGAGGTTGAGTTGCCTCTTTGTCTTCTCAAGTTTGAACTGCCTTCTTCAGTTCTCTGGCTGTGGGAGCTGTAGGGCTTACGGAAAATGCTGTTCACCTCACAGCTGCACAGTCTTTCGGTAGAGCTAAGAGAAAAAGTCATGAGAAAAATGATCAGCTGATTCAAAAATTATTTATATATTCTTCCTAAAGGCTTAAAAATTGATGGAGGAACCTCCTGTCATCATCTTTAGGGAGTTGCAAACATTCACTTTCTTGTAATGAAAGTTAAGGTGCATTTTAATCATTAGGCAGCCTTCGACTTTGGATATTTTATCTCTGGGAGCCAGACGGCCCCAAAGTAGTGAAGGTGGCTTCTTCCATGGTATTCTAGCATTTCTCTTTATAAGGGGTTTTGTGTGTGATCTGCATTTTCCTCTTTTCTCTGTATCTGTTTGGAGAAATAAAGTAAATTTAGACCTTGAATTTCACATATAAATGTCGAATTGAGTAGCCTCTTTTTGTTAACAAATGCCTCCTTTGGGTTGATTAAATAGAGCCCTAATGCACACTTCAGGGAAGAGATTCAAAGGTTTGCTGGGCACCCAAGTCTGTGAAACTGCAAGTCTTTCAATTTAGGGAAAATCAAAGTCTATAATTACATGTGTATTTTCCACTGTTAAGCAGATGGCAGTGAGAGTGTTAAGTGGAACATTAGAAAGAGTAAATGAACACCACAAGACGGAGGGCCCAGGACCTGAACATCTTTTCCTGAAAAGAACAAAAATAATGCCTATTTTCTTGAAGATGATTGAAAGTTATCATTTCAAATAAATTCTGCATTATTCATAGGCCCCTGAAAATCATATCTCTATTTTTCCACATTGGATCTAAGATCTAATAGATGCTTTCCTAGAGGTATATACTATCATTCACATATTTTATTTTGATCTCTTGGGAGGGTCATAATTATTCAACTTTTTGTTTTTCTCTTCCCGAGTTCTGCATTAGAAAGAGTTGTTTAGGTTTCATACACTTTCTGAGTTAGAAAGGATCTTCAAGGACATCTGGTCAACTTCCTGCTCAACGCGGGAAACCTCTCTTGACAGTTCTTGTAGCAGGAGGTCAACTTCTGCCCGAACATTTCCTGTGTAAAAGAACTCACAGTTTATTCCTCTTCCAGAGAGCTCTGAGTATTCATATTCTAATACTTACTGAATCCTACTATTAATTTGTATCAAGTACATTGCAATTTATAGTTTTTAAAATGTTTTTATATAGTTTATATACATCACAGCAACCTTCTAACTGCTAAATCCAGTGCACATTCTTTACTGTTCTCTTGGTGGACTTCTGCCACATTTTGTACCGTTATCCACACCATCCCTCTTAAAATTCTCTCCTGCCTTGGTTTCTTTGACTTTCTCTCCCAGTATTTCTCCTTTCCCATGTGACTTTTTCTTCTCAGTCTCTATGTGAAGGTCTGTTCATCTGGTTCCTGCTTAAATGTCCACTCTTTTGTCTTTGGTCCTTTATTGTGTCCACATACTTTCCCTGAAATGTTTTATCCACATCTAGACCTTTGTCATCAATAGTCTCAATTATATCTCCATCCTTGACTTGTCTCCTAAACTCGAGTCCTTTGTATACAGGAGCATCCTGGAATTTTCAGTGAGGCTCCCAACTGGCACCTCAAACTTAACGTTTCTAAAGCTGAGGTGTGGCCGTCTTCTTCACCAAATTTTTTCATTCTTCTTTTTCGTTGGAACTATGATCTCTCTAAACACAAAATCTTAATGCTGTCTTCACTATGTCCCTTCCCCACTCCTAAAGCCATCACCATGGCTCAGCCACCCACCCCTAATCCTGAGGTTGGTGCTGTCTCCCCACTCATCTCCTCCTTCAGTCTAGACCCTTTTAGCCCATCTCCGTACTGCAGCCACACTGTGGACTTTGGAAAATGAAATCTAGTCCCTAGACTGAAAAACTCTCCAGTTGCCTCTGGGATCAAGTCTGAACTCTCCAGCGTGGCAGATGGGGAAGCCCTTCATGAAAGGGTGCCCGTCTCTGTTCCCGGTACCACCTCTCCCCAGTACACCCTGCCAGCTATTCATTCCAAGTGCTTGCCATCGCCCTGAACACACTGGCTGCTACCTGTGTACTGTTTATTTTGCCAGGAATGTTTCTTGGGTTAGGAGAAATGTCCGTCTTTTGAAATGCTCATCCCATGCAGTGTAACTGCCTTCACCTCACTCCGTTACTATTCTCTGAGTTCCTAGAGATAAAGCATAAAGTGTAAGTCATTTTTCGCATCCCAGTGCCTGGTCCATTATCTACAACATAGAGAATTTTGAGTTCTATTCTGTGCTTAATTCTTAATAAGTTGAACATTTCTATTGCCCTTCTTTGGACATGCTATACTTTTTTAAAGTTCCCCTTCAAATATGTAGGCAGAAATTAACACAGGGATGTGTCTCACCCAGTACAGACTTTAGTGGGGCTGGGGCTGCCCATCCACTTGAAAAGAGCAGCTCTTTCTATCAATATAGCTCCAAATAACAGTCACTACACTGGTAGAATGGCTTCTGGGTGGCAGATATGGTGGTAAATATTAGAAATAATCTCTTTACTCATCAAACCAACTCTGTAGGGGAGACAATATAATCTCCATTTTATAGATTAGGGAGCTGAAGCTTAGAGAGTTTGAGCAAACACTTCATGAAGTTGGGATTCAGACCACATCCATGTGACTCCAAAAGCCAGGCTTTTCGTTCTACTACATGCTGCCTTTGAAATGTTTCAGTAGTCCAATCAGATAATTAAAATTTGTGAGCTTGAAGTCAGATAAAATTCACCATGACCCCCTTCTCCATGCTAAAATTTACATGATTGATTATTTCAGTCTGTGTGCTAGAGTCTCCATTTTTATTTTTTAAAAAGCACAGTGCTAGCTTTATTATTTTTTATGATTATGATTATTAATCTAATGACATTGAAGCAAGAGAGTTGAATTTCTTTCAGCTTTAAAGGATGCAAGCTATTCCGTCTTGGTGACCATTAACATTTTTGCCCCTAAGGGTCTCGTATTATTTGCTAAATTATCCTTGCTGGAATTGACATCAAAGATTTATTCTTGAAATATATCTGTATTTTTTCTCTCTTTGACAATCAAGATAGGATGAACCCATCTTCTCTTCAGTGATAGTTTTCTGCCTCTCTATTAATTTTTTAAGATTATGACAATGCTTTTACTGCTACAGGATTTCTGTACCCTTCATCATCTATATGGTTTAGACACTTGGATTCCTTCTTATACCTTCTCAATGTTGTGGTGTTAGACGGCATGGGCTGAATGTGGTCCTGAGAGGTCAGGCTTTCACACATGTAGGGAATTCAGTGGCAGGTAATGGTTCTTGAAATCTAGGGCTTTGAAGTCTCTTGAAGTACATCTTTGTATAAAATAGAAGCTACAGGGGCAAAGAGACAGGAAAAACTTAAATATGTTCCTTGTGAATATTCAAGGGATGTTTATTCCAACTTTTAATAATTTGGGGAGTGACTCTAGTAAAGGTATTCCACCAAATGGAGCATCAAATTTCCTCCAATAAAATGAAGTGTCAGAAGGGCTTCACCAGTTTTCAAATGTCACAGCCCTGAAGCCACACCATGCTGTAAGTGACTGGGCAAAGACATCACAGATTTGTCATTTCCAAAATATCTAAACTGAAACTTATGAAAGGAAGCAAATTTAGAAGGTGGTTCAGAAGGTCTTGGTCCCAACTGATAAAATATAGGGCAGATCTGGTAGCAGATAAAAATGATTGCAAAATGATTCATAATGCTGCCATGCAAGTGAAAAAGAATGGCTAATTTCATGATGTATGAGGATCCAGCCAGAAGACAAAAAGTGCACAGTAATTTGAAGTGGGAGCGCAGCACGTGGAGAATTTCTCTGCTGCTTCAGCAGCAGGTGTACTGAAGTCGGAACGATACGGGGAGGATTAGCGTGGCCCCTCCGCAAGGATGACATGCAATTCTGTGAAGACTTTGTATTAAAAAAACAAAGAATTATTATCAGAGGTTTTGAGTCATGGGAGATTGCCTCACAGGAGAGAAACAGACCCTACAAAACACAGAAAGAGCCAATGCTATAGAGGACAGCCATCACTCCTAGAACTGAGATAGCTGAGAGGCAGACTTGGTTGGAGAGGATGCAGTGTGGCTCATGGGATGGCAGGGAGGTCCACTGAGGTGTCACCCTGGTGGGGTGTCTAGGAGTCCACCCGCTGGAGTGCTGGAGGACACTGATGTCAGGGCACTGCCGTATCCTGGAACTTACCTGAGCTGCCCCCACAGGTGTCAGAGAAGCCATCCAAGGCAAAGCACCTGGCTGGCAGCCCTTCCCTCTGAAGTCCCCCCACTCCCCTAGGAGAGTGTGTAGGGAAAAAACATCTATGGGCGTCCCCCAGCGGCCAGGCTGCTGTGAAGCCACCCCGGGGGGGGGTGCTGGGGGACGCTTTGTGGGGGGGTCATTAGTGCTGCTGAGAGGAACCACACCTAGTGCAGGAGACCCATGAGGTGACCACACAGGACCAGGAGGAGGTAGCTCATCCTTCTCCGTGTCCCTCCAGCACCCTCTGCTGATAGTTTCCTACTGGACCAGATGGCGAGGAGAAATATTTATAGAGCCCCCCTCCATTACTGTAAGACATAAAGAAAGGGTGGATATGTAGCTGAGAGGCAGTAAATTGATAACTGGCACAAATGGTATCTGGAAAAAAAATCTTCCCTTGATATTAAGACACAAATTACTAGAATCTGATGAACAATAATAACTGTATTTTTTTCTACTTTCTAATCAACCACAGTTACTTTATTTGAAAAGATTTATTCACATTAAGTGATTAAATAATTTGAAAGCCAGTACATTCTATTCTAGAGAAATCAAATTAATTATAAATTAGACAACCAAGTGTACATTGTGCAGATTCGTAAAGACTGTTGTAGGCTCATGATAAATGTTGGTGGGAACTGAGTTGAATTACACAGTACTCCATTTTGAACTACTCTGTGTTTTAAAGATTTGTAGCTTTTTTTTTTTTCAATTAATTTTTTTGGTCAAATCCAATAAGTACGTTACAGACTTCACAGGTGAAAGGATGATCAGATCAAGAGCTTATCTCGAGCCGGGAATGTTTCTGGGCTATCACTTGTAATTTAGAATCCACCAACATCAAAACTCTATAGTACCAGTTTTGATTTTAAGATATGAGATGATCGCTGTTTCTTTTCCTCTTTCTGAAATGCTTTGACACTGAAGCATAACTCTGTCGGTTATTGGGAACTATTATAACCCTGGTTTTATCTACGAACTGTGTTTGTGGTGGAAAAATGGAAGTCATTTCAAATACCGTCAGCCCCAAGAATCAGATGAGAAAAGTGTCAAGTGAGTGGACATGACCACAAGCTTTCCTGAATACGAATCTGTGTGTCTCATTCAAAACCCCCCAACATCATGTCCCTAATCACCTGCTCATTGAATACAAGTCTGTGACGGCCTTTAGCATGCCGTGTGTTTTCGTCCCGTGAGGGTGCAGAGTGCGATGGAGATCCCCTTGTCTGTGTGACAATGGTTGCACGGAAGCCGTTCTGGAACCTTGTTTCACATTGAACCAAATTGTTTCTGATAGAAAAAAAAGAAAGCCAGATTTCTAAAGAAGATGGCTAAGCTATGGCTGCTTTAGATCAGAGTTTATCAAATATAGATCATGCACTCCTCACTTCAGAATCACCTGAAGTGCTTCTTAAAAATGCCAGTTCTTCAGCCGTGTCTCTGCCGGACTTGGTCAGGCTCTGGGCATTTTGAGCCCAAGGACTGAGAGTTTGCATTTTGAGCAAGCCCTCTATCTGACTCACACCCTTCCTGACACTGGTACTTGAGAGCCAGGAGTTGAAGCAATGCTCTTTTTTTTTTTTCCCTTCTGAAGCCATATTGACGAGGGTCACAGCAGGGCTGGTAAAGTGAAGCCCAGGTCGGTCGTATGTTACCCACTCACAGGAGACCGGGGACTTTGCATTTGTCAAGTGTAGCACACAGTAGAAGACAACTTTGGCTGCCTTAAGTAGAGAAGGCGTTATTGGAAGGATATGGTGGTGTGGGAGCTAAAGGAGAGGCGTTGAAGAAGGAGGAAGCAGGGCATCTCTGGGGATCTGTGTATCAGGCGCTGACTGATGTTCAGAGCTGGGTTGAGTCAGCTTCAAGCTTCATGATACTTACTCTTGTGCTCATCTCTTCTCTAGAGGGAAGAGTTTCTAGGTGCACCCAACTGAGAAGGAGATTTCCCAGTAAGCTGTTAGCAGAAGTGAGGCAGAGTGGTTGCCTACTCTATCAGATTCTGATGTTATTAACGTAATACACACATAATGACTCTTTAAAAACTAGCTAAGAGTTTAATTGCATCCTAAGATTAATCTTAGATTAATAAAACAACTTTCAAACTTTCTTAATCATCAGCCTGAATATGCCAATATTTGCTTTTGGTACATTCCACCGAGCCTCAGAGAGACGGAGGAAGGACCGGAGTTCTGGGCAAAACTTCATTTGGTGAGTAATAAGCACACTGTATTTTTCATTTGGATGAAATAGACTCAATGCCCATTGTCTGTTGATCCTATAAATAATTCTGTACTTGCAAGAACTCCTTGAAGATCTAGAGAGCTGATTCTTAGTCTATAAAAAGCTAATGACTTGCCAAACCATTCTAAGTACAGTTAACGTTTGACAGATCAACATAGTTGACACACACACTTGGGATAACCATGCTGTTTGCACAAGGGTTGTAGAATCTGTCAGAAGTTCTGATTCACAGTGCATTTCAGAGAATGTGAGCTGGTGACAGGACCCAAGGTTAAAGCCATGCAATGAGTGGCTTCTTCCTTCAGCTCTGCTGGTGCATGTCTGTGACTGTTCGCATCACCTCACATGCAGATCATGTTGAAGTCTAAATCTGGTGCCATTTGTGAGGGTGAGACTTTCTGTTCTTTCCACCAACAAAGGTGGTTAAAAAGCTTATGTCCGGGGGGTTTATGGGATAAAACAGAAAAAAGATGTCAGCAATGAATTTGAACTGATCGTTGAACTAAATGTGGGGAACGTGTCTTCACACTCAGCTGGTGAGGGCTGACCACCCAGAGTGAGGAGAAGCCCTGAGTGCTGGAGTCTTCCTGGGTCGCTCCTGTACCTCCCCTGGCATGGCCCTGCTAGGGACAGTCCTGCCTCTAACCCGGGTTTCCGAGAACTAGGCAGTCTCCTAAGTCAGTCCTGCTGGACTGTCCCACTCCCCTGCTGCATGGACTCAGTGTAGATTGAATTGAGTCAGTGAGAATCCCCTGAGGACTCTGTGACCATGTCACGTACCATCGATAGGGCATCCTGTGTCCCTTGCCTCCTCCCTCTCCAGCTCAGCTAGCGGCATGACCCTGTTTAGTAACAGCCCCAACTTCTGCAAACCCCTCTCTACCCTCAGGGGGGAAGTCAATGAGAGTTTTAGCAGCTTTTACAGGTGACAGCCTCTAGAAGAAAAGGGAGAGCTTCCCAGTTAGGCAAACAGATCGAGCGCTCACTATGCCTGGCACCAGAGACACAAACAGAAGGGGCTTAGTCCCTGCCCTAGGAAGCTCATAGTTGGGGAGACAGATGAGTACAGAGATCAACACATGGTAATTAGCAGGTGCCTGGATGGAGAGAAAGCCTGTGAAAGCAGAGAGAAAGGATACCTACCCCGGATACCTACCCTGATGTGTGACACTAGAGCGGAATCCGGCAATAAGTAGACACGAGTTGGGGACAACTGTGGAGAAGTGGGTTCTGGGAAGAATCTTAAGACAGGAGGGTGGGATGGAGACCCCAGGGGGCAGAGGGGCAGCGGCAGGAGTGGGAAGAGAGCAGCAGGCAGGGGAGCGCACGGGGTCCTCGTCTTCCATGACAGCGCGCCTAGAATTTGTGCCTGGTTAGGAGGAGGAGTGAAGACCATGGTCTTGATTCCAGAGCCCCCTGGGTCCTCTCCTGTGGCATCCTCCTCAGTCTCAGACCACTTCTGGTTTATTTATGGCTCATTAAGCCTCTTGCAAGGTTCACAGTATGTACCTAATATGTCAGTGTCCTGCTCCTGGTCCAACCTGAGGCCAGGCATCCGAGATGGGGAGACGTGGCCGGTGTGACTGTGCCTCTGCCCAGACGAGCCCTCCACTGGCCATTTCAGTGCCGCGGTCCTCCAGTTTCACTTACGTTTTTGTCACACGCTGCAAATGGGGAAGTGTTAAAGAACACATTTCAGACGGTAAGTAGCTCATGAAAGGAAACCAGAACTGGACAGCGTGAGAATTTACTACTGAGGTTTACGAGGACAGTTTCCACTTGGATGGAAGGCAACAGAAATTTCTGGTGGCATGGGGTGGGGGATAATGGCTTACAGTGGGGAACAATACAGCTACCATTTTTCTCGCTTTTCCATTGCTAAGCAGTCGAGAAGGTAATATCCGTGTTTTGCGGACTCAGTACTGTTGCATGGACCCGGATCAGGATAACTAAATCGTCCTGTTATGTTTAGGGACAGTTTTGACTTTCTCTCCCTTTACTTCAAGAAATACTTACATTGTCTAATCTTGGAAAATTTGAAGTTGAGAAATGAGACATAAACTAAAGTCAGATAATTCAGCCCAGAAGACACTTTTAATCTTAACTGGAAATCGACTATGAATCAGGTCGTTCTCTTCTGTCCCCAGGACTTGCCCACAGTGATTCTCCTTTGGTTAACATCCACGATTCTCTGTCCCTTCATTTTGGGAACGCTCTCCTGTCATTTAAAGCCATGGTGCCCTCGCCCAGTCTGGTATCATAGTGTCTTAATTGTTCTGGTTGTTTCCAATTCATAAACATGTGTGCTGCAGACAAATCGTCACTGGTTCCCAGATTCCTAGTTTCCTCATCCTGTCTCTCGGCATGGATGTCTGTGCTTGAATTTCCCAAGAATGGGAGGCAAAGATACCTATTGTTGGTCTGTGTGGTTTTACGCTTCCTATAGTTTGAGAATGCAAGTGGAGGACTGATAACCTGGAATGTACTTAAAGCACACTTGAAATTTATTTCGGGGTTTATCTTGGATGGAGAATCACAAATAAATAAACAAAATAAATAAACAGAATAAGGCTCGGCCCCTCTAGTTCAGACCAGTGTCCAGTTGAGCCATCAGACTTCAGAGTCGGTGGCGTGGTAAGTCCTTCCCTGGCAGCGGGAGGGCAGAGGGCTATTTGGTAACAAATCTGGAGTTTCATGGTGTGTAAGCGTGCATGTGTGTGTGTGCGCATGTGTGTGAGACCTCCTCTGAGATCACAGTCACTCTGCAGTCTAATGACACTCTGACGACCACTCTGTGACACTGTGTTCAACCACTGAGTTCCAACTGCTTCTCTTTTTAAGATTTCATCAGGAAATGTGCTTCTTTCTGATCTTTTCAGGCATCGTGGTATCCTAGGTCTTCATTTCTTCCCTGTGCATGTGGCGCTTGCCTCTTTTCTGGCCTCTGCCTCCTGTGTATTTGCTCCCTCTCCACACAGTCAGACCTGCTCTCTGCCCAAAGCCTAGGGCTGGCTCTGTCTTCTTCACCGTGGCAGCTTTAAACCCGATAGACCAACGACCCCTGTGTATAATAAACACTGTTAACGTTCCTTTTACTCTCCTGCACTGATGACAGTAGAAACTATGACCCACCTACACGTAATTTTGTAAAAGGCAGTAGAAGACCTTACATGTAATTGGAAGGGAAAAGAATCTTTGTAATAAAGAGATGTGCTTTGTCTCAGAAATATTTGGCACGACAACACTAGAAGACAAGAGGACTTGATAAGATCCTCACGCAGACTCTCAGAATCGTGGTGAACCATCTACAAATGCAGACTCTCCTCAGTAGATTGTGGTGCTGGTGCAAATCACAGGGATGGAGGGTGTTAGTGACAGATTTTCACAAAAGGTGCACAACTCTTTGGAAAACATTGTAGAAGACATTTTCCCCTTGATGTACATGGTAGGAGAAAGCTTAGCATTTTAAAAAATGGGCACAGAGGGGTTTGCACTTGGCATGTAACCCAGAGTCAGGTTCTGGGGCAGCTGGCATCTCTGGTCCCCACCCTCTAAACACCAGTAGCAACCCCTGGACATCACACAAACCAAAAACATCTGCCCAAATGTCACAAATATTCCCTGAAGGTGTAGTGCTAGTCCCTTGAGAAGGTCTGGTCCACACGACAAAAGCTAGTCCACCCTGCTAGGCATCTCAAGGCCTCCATGCCCGAGCCGCAGGCATGAGTGGCAAGAAATTTAAAAGAACCTCAGTATTCAACTATAGGGAACTGGTTAAAATGTAGTGTGTAATTTATATGCAGATTTCTAGTGCATAGGCAATTAAAACTCTGTTCCAGAATAACCGCTTCATAATTTATTATTAATTGAAATACTAAGTTATAAAATAGTCATGATAGTATGATGCCAGTTTTGAGAAGCTGCAGTTTGTATGTACACAGATACTTACATGTAACATAGTGTCTGCAGTTAGGTACGGGGCGGACAGTGGCATCAAAACATTTCAGCAATGGGTGATTTTTTCTTTCTGTTGTAGTCTTCCGCAGTTTCTTAATTTTTGGCAATTACTGTGTATTGCTTTTGTGAAAATAACAACAACAACAGAAACAGTAATAATAAAGCCGAGTACAGAAGACCTGACCCAGTGAAACCATAGCATTCTTGTGTATTTTTCCAGACAAAGGCCACCGAGGTTTGACCACACTCTCTTAACAGGTAAAGACATTTTTTGAAAAATTGAGCATTTACCTCATATGTGTTTATTGTTTTAAAATCATCTACATGTATAAAATTTTAAACATAGTAGGCGCGTTTAAAAATACACAAAAGAAGTTTTTGTTTTATGCTAGAACCACACAGTGGTTTATTATTCAACTTTTTTTAATTGAAGTATAGTCAGTTTATAATGTATCAGTTTCTGGTGTTCAGCATAATGTCCCAGCCGTGCATATACATACATATATTTGTTTTCATGTTCTTTTTCATTATGGATTACTGTAAGACATAAATACAGTTCCCTGTGCTATACAGAATAAACTTGTTTATCTGTTTTATATATGCTAGTTAATATTTGCAAATCTCAAACTCCCAGTTTATCCCTTCCCACCCCCTTTCCCCTCAGTAACCATAAGATTGTTTACTAGGTCTGTGAGTCTGTTTCTGTTTTGTAGATGAGTTCATTAGTGTCTTCTTTTTTCTTTTTTTAGATTCCACATATGAGTGATATCATAGGCTATTTTTCTTTCTCTTCAAAATAAGGCTTTTCAAGGATGGACTTAAAATGTGAAAATTTTCAGAGATGCCTTAATTTAGTCCTTATATACCAAGGGGGGGCGATCTTGTTTGGAGACCATTTTATTACCCTAGTCAATCAGTTAGGTTGCAAACTATCTTCTGTCATGACTTGGTCCCAGACTTAGTATATAATTTGTCCTCGCTTCCCACCTCTCTCTGTCTCCCTCCTTGTC